TTTTCATCTCAAATATTACAAGAATATAGTAAGTTTTTTTTTTTATTATTGATTTCAAATGTCTTAAAAACTGAGGTATCTTCACAAACTTGCTCTTGAAGGTAACATTTACTTCTCAGAGGAAAACAATAACCTTCCCCCTTTTGGGCTAGGTATCATTGCCTCATTAAAAAAAAAAAAAAATAGATGAAATTGAGGCTGGAGCGACGATAGCTCAGTGGTAAAGAGCACTTGCTGCTCTTGCAGAGGACACAGGTTCAATTCCCAGCATCCACAGGGTGGCTTAGAGCAATCCATAACCCCAGTTCCAAAGCCCTCTTCTGACTTATAAGAGCAACTAGGCATGCATATGGTGTACACACATGCATGCAGGCAAAATGCATTGAAAAATAACAATCTTTTAAAAAAGGTGAAATTCTATTTGGTAGCTCCCCAAATTCTGTGGGCGGAAGACTTCTCAACACAACAAAGCTGCAAGCAAGAAGCTAAAATTTCAGGACTCAAATTTCTGTGTTCCGTGAATTATGTAAATTTGTTTAGACTAATATTATGCAGTTACTTGCAGATCATATACAGATTTATCAATGACTACTAGATGCATGGTTTAATGTAAATATTAGGCTTCAAAAGTATGACAGGGTTACTGGCACTTTCTTCTCTTCCCATTAAAACTACAGGGTTGAAAGGTAGTTTAGTAGTATAACGTGCAAGTATGTGCAACATCTAGGCTTAATCCTCTGCGGTGCAACAAACAGACAGGAGAAAGCGTTGACTTAGTCTACTCCTAGGGAAATCACAAACGAGAGATAACTAAGAAGCACAAAAGAAAAAATTAGATATTCTTTCTACCTTAACTCTAAGAGAATGGTAAATATTTTCAAAAGACTATTATTTTAAGTTGAGTTTGTCTATGTGAGTGTATGTGCTCACACATATGCAGGTGCCTGCAGAGGTCAGGAGTGGGTGTTGGGTCTCCTGGAGTTACAGGGCTGGACATGATGATGCTGGGCTCTGAACTCTGGTCCTCTGGAAGAGCAGAAGGCACTCTTAACCACTGAGTCACCTCTCCATCCCTGAATCGTAAATGTCAACCTTTAGAAATTCAAAGTAGATGAAATTGAGGAGGATCATGAAAGTATCTGCCACCTATTTCTGTTTTTATTATCCAATACCAAAATACATTATCTACATCTACCAAATACTAAATTTCATTTTCAGTACTGTTTGAGGGACATATTATTAAATCTTACTTTGAAATTCAATTTCCACAAAAGACAATAATTTTTGTGCTCCTCACATTCTATTTACTAAAAGTAGGAACTATGAAAATATGCCATACCATACCTTTTGAAGCTAGGTGAAATTACTTTTGTGTGCACTTTATTTTTAAATTTAAATATTTTTGTGTAATTAAAAGCCTATTTTTTAAATTCCAGACTTCCTGGAGACACGCAGACATTTTTACTGCATAAGGGGCATATAGTTTTTTAGCAACTACTAAACTGCTCTCCAAAACTGAACAAATTTATACATTCACACCAGCACTGCAAGAGATCCTCCTTCCTAACACTTTGGGTCATCACACTTAACACCTGCCAAAATGATGGCAAATGGTCTCATGCCTACTTTAACAGAATGTTTTTAATAATTTACCCTATAAAAATTAGGTTTGGTGAAAAGTACATACTAGCATTTCATCTACCTAATCCTTTTTCCTAGTAAAATGTCCAAACCAAAGGTAATTTAATATAACCAAAGCTCTTAATGCCACAACACATTTGTAACTGATAATGTTCATCCCAGTCCATGTTGTTTTCTGAAAGTGATACCCTACATTAAGATATTAAATTCAATTTCAGTGTACAAAACAGACAATTAGGGGGAAATGATGAATTTGGCAACACAAATTTTAAATTTCAAGTCATGTCAAATATAAATGGAAAGGCAGAGGCTGGCTTAAGAACTAAGGTATTATCCACACAAAGATCAGTATCAAAGCTAAAGGAATGAAGTCCTGTGGAGAAGGTAGAGCGGGAAAGGAATGAAGATTTCAGTGAGGAAGGAAGTGGCCAGGAAAGCAGACCTAACAACTCCTTTAAAATGGAAAGAAGCAAGACCAGCTGTCTGGTTTCTAATGATGGAATGGATGGGGAGAACAAAATTCAGACCACTACAGAGACGGCTTGAGCAAAGATCGTTATGCTTATCTATAAGCTATTAAAATGAACAATGTCATGTAACAACCTCAGACTGAAGGTCTGTGGACAAACTTCGCCTACAGGTGATATGGTTCAAAGAGTTTTACTAGCTTTTGGGAAAAAAAGTAAGTAGACAACTTGGTTATATTCCAACACCTACAATTTAAGATAAGGTTAATAAAATGTAAGGTCCGAACCAAGGAAAGACAAGCAATATGAACTAATGGGAGTGCCGTGGTTAAGCATTAAGTTTGCTCTGACCTTATTTCCCAACAAAGTTTAAAAATGTAAACTGCACATCGTCTCATGTAAGACATGTTTCTGTCAAGACAAACTTTCTCTGGGAACTAAAAATAAAAATTGTCACATGAGTCTGAAATTCAAATATCAACACCTACAACAGGTTTTTAAAGTAAAAGAAGAAATGCTTATTTAGTGAATAAAGCTGTGTAATTTTAACACATGTCCAACATTGTTCTAAGCCTTGTATAAAATATCAACTCTTAATTTTCACATGGCTATTTCTTAGTAACACTATAAAACCTGGCAGACCTAAGAGTGCTGGCAACACAGACCGACTGCTGACTGGGGAAGGCCTGTGCTCTGGAGCCTGAGCACTTAGAAGGGATAAAAAGCATCTAGAAAGGTCAAATCGGAGCTGACCCCCTAGAGTGAGAGAAATGCTTCTCACATGGAAAATGAAGTGTTCAAGAGAGGACAACTTTACTTTTGGAAAACAGATAAAATAGAAACTTCAATCAATTTATAATACTGTCTATCTTGCCTTTACATAATTTCATGACAGGGTGGTTTGAACCTTGATAAAAGGATCTCTCATGACTCTCATCCTCTTTGAATTGGTTCTGAACCTGTTTAGTTACCTAAATTTTGGTGCAAACACACAAACACACACACACACACACACACACACACACACACACACACACCACTAGTCTAGTCCCTTAACTAAAGTCAACAAGGTTATCTTATTGGCACTTAACACTCTCCAGGAATCTGAGCAAACCTTGGGGAATTCCCTCCCTAAACTGGCTGCTTCTGCTGGGCAAGATGAGGGGGGACAGAATGGTACATAAGCCAAAATAGCATTCCTAAGTTACAGCTTTGAGATGATTTATTAATATTATTAATAGGGCAGTGAAACCAGAAACTTTTGGGGAAACCAAACATGAAAGTTCATTTTCCTATCTGACTTTTGAAAAAGGGCACTGGAGCCATCACGGGGGGTGAGGGTAGGGGTGGGGGTGTCACAGAACCAGACATACTTTTAACAGAAAGCATCTCCTATTCTGCAACCTGTGAAATTAACTATTAAACGGTAGTAAATGCACTTTGCAATTCTGTTAAATGTGAACATGTGCTTTGTGCCTCAAGCCTGGTAAGCCAGACGGTAAGGTGAGTCCTATATGTGATTAAACATGCATAATACACATTCTACTTTCTAAAACATTAGAGGTGTAATCTAACCAAGGTCTAGGTTTAAAAAGCAAAACACTAAAAGGGATTGGAGTTATCTAATACAACACATTTCAATAATGGTCATCGAGCTAGTGTGTGGCACAAAACCATTATCACAGAATACCACAAACTTTGTTCATCATTAAGTGCTTTTTTTGTTTGTTTGTTTTGGTTTGAAATAACACTTTTCACTCTGGGAAAATAACCAGGAATGTTGTAGGAAGGTCCCCACATGAATTACAGGAAACATGAAACAGGCCTGAGCTTGAGGTTATAAAATTCGCACTTTCAGTTTGACTTAAGCCACTGTGCAGAGCTGGAAAGAGGATAAAATGCAACAACAAGGCACACCAGGTCAGTATAAAGTCAGAAAAATAGGATACAGGAAAAGCCTGAGTCAACGTTTTACCTAGTGGGGAAAACTAAACCTATTTATAGTATAGAAAAGCATTCAGGACGGTGTCATATTGAAGAAAACTCAATTTTGTTCAGGCTAAATTCCCACACTATATACACAATGAGTCAACATCCGATCACAATTAAGTCCCCCAAACTACTTAAGATTTTTGCATGCTTAGGTCACACTTCATTTTTGCTTTTTTGTTTTGTTTTGTTTTTTTCTTTAAAAAAAAAAAAAGGGCCGTCCACCTCACAGAGGACATCCGACAAGGTACTGCTGGTCCCCGTAGGAACAGGTGGTCCGTGCTGCGTGCCTCATCCTCTAGGCCACATGTCCCTATTCCGCCTAATCTCATTTCTGAAGCATTATTTCCGGTGGCCCAGATGGCTCGACGCACGCCAAAACGATCCACCTCAGAAGGATTAAGAGCCCTCGGCCACATCTGGCATCCAGCGGGATGGTGTGGCAGAGGCTTAGAGAGGAGGCAGGCCGGGGAGGGGGGGGAAGACGGCCTGGAAAAAAAAAGGTGCGTCGGGAGGGTAGAGGCTCCCCTCTACGCCCGACTCCTCAATGTCACCGGCTGGAGATGGGATGCTCGTGCGGCATCCCCCTCGCGGAGCCCGGGAGGCGGGCCGGGGTGGGGGGCAGGCCGGGGCTGCTGCCAACAGGCCAGCCCCGCTGGGCGCTCGCCGGTCGTCCCGGGGCGACCCGCGCGGGAGGCCGTGCGGGCGGGCGCCGAAGGGGAAGTGGGAGCAGGCGGAGGGGCGCGGGCGGGGCCGGGCGGGCCTGATCACATGGCGCGGCCGTCGCAGGCCGCCAGGCATCGTTTTCTTTCTCTTCCGCGAACCCCGGGCTGCCGTACCAGCCCCGCCACCGCCCCCCGCCCCGGGACCCGCTCCCCCGGCTCCCCCCCGCCAGCCACTCACTTGTCGCCCGCGGTCACCATCTCCTTGCCCTCGCTGTTGCCGAACGCGTCCGTCTCCCCCGGGCTGTCCTTGGGGCCCGGGGCTGGCGAGGCTGCGGGCGGCGACGCCCCGGGCTGCGGCTGCTGTTGCTGCTGCTGCTGCTGGGGCGGCGGCGACGGCGCGCCTCCCTTGCCCAGCTCCTGCAGGATCTCCGAGGGCGAGCTGGACAGGCCGCCGGCGCCGGGGCCCTTGGCGCGGCCGCCCCCGCCCCACCACGGGTGGAGTCGCGCGGCGGCCACCAGGCCCGGGGCCGGCCGGCTCCCGCCCCGGGGCCGCCGGCACAGCGTGCCGAGGGGCTGCGCGCGCCGCAGGGCGGCTCCGACGACCAGGGCGGCGGCGGCGGCGGCGGGCGGCCGCAGGAGCAGCTCGCGCAGCATCGCCGAGCCTCGCAGCCGCATCATGCCGCCGGCGCCCGCTGGTCAGTAGAGGATGCTCCGGGCGTGGGCGGCCGCGCGCCGCCCGGCACGGGCTCGGAGGGAGGGCGGAGAAGAGAAAGGGTCCACGGCGGGGTGTGGCCCCGCGCCGCCGCCGCCGCTGTCGCCGCTATCACCGCCGCCGAGCCTGCCGGTCTTCGCCGCCGCCGCCGACGCTACTCCGGCCGCCGCGAGCTCCGCACTGAGACGGACGCGCAGGGGAGGGCTGGAGACATTCCGCGCTCACCAGCCCGGGGGGGCGGGACGCCCCGCCCCCTGCGCGCCCTGCCATTGGCTCAGCCTGCCGACCTTGCTCCGGATTGGCGAGGGCACCTGTCAAGTTCGCCTCGGCGCCCGTGCGCAGTCCCGCAAGGGGTCCGGGAGGGCGGGGAGAAGGGCGCCTGACGTGTGTGGCCGCCGCCGCCGCCGCCGCCGCCGCCGCCGGCGAGGCCCCCCTCCCCTCGGGCCGCCGGAGGCCACGCGGGGCGAGCACCGCCGTTCCGGAGTCTGGCCATTCACCGGGCAGGTGCGCTCCCGGCGGGGGCGGGGTGCGCGTCCCCGAGCTCCCGAGGACGCCGGAGCGCTCGAGTGCGAGCCGCCCCGGGCTGGAGCGAGGCCGGGCGGCGGCGGGTCCCCGGGTCCGCGCCTCCTGCTCGCCCCCCGGCCAGGGATGGGGCGGGAGGGGGCATGTGTCCGCCCTTCTGAGGGCATCGGTCCTGCCCAGGCAGCCCCGACCAGCCCCATCCCTCTCACAAACGTGCTTAAAACTTTCCATGGTTGGCTACTGCCCAGAAGTGAAATGTTTTGGAAAAAATGAGCAAAATCCTCTCGGCTAATGCAACTTAAGACATTTTAGGACGTTGGCGAGTGGGGACCACGAAAAGAGAGAAAGCCAGGGTAGGGTGGCTCGCCTCTCCCAAAATCGTTTTGGTTTTTTTTTTTTCATGCACACCAGTTTTCCAAATTTTTTGAACGGCGACAATTTCATTGGTGCTTGTTGGCTTGAAAGCAAAATTGCAGATACTGTTTTTCTATTTTAAAAGCTGTTTCATTGGTTTAAAATAGAAGCATCCGAATACCGTTTCTCAAAACCGGCTCAGCTCAGCATCACTTTGTCTCTTTACCCTTCCAGCCGTGTGGGTCATGCAATATTCCCTGGACCTGCCTCACACATTTCTCTCCAGAATAAAAAAATGTTTTTTAAACTGTTTCCTAAAACAAATATGAGACAAGAAGGGTATAAGGTGCATCACTAATTCACCAGATTTAGTAATCCGATGACTCTTCTAAATGTTGAACTAGATTAGTAACCAAAGAATCTGACTTACAGGTTTGCCATGTTTAAGTTGGGTTTTGTTTTTATTTTCTCTTTTTTCAATCTTCTCTTTAAATTGAAAAAAAATGTGAGGAAAGTGACTTGTAGGAAAAAAAAACAGAATTGCAAATTATTTGGGTGGCTTTAATTATTGCTTAATGTGAATGTGGTGGTGTGAAAGAAAATGGCCCCCAAAGGGAGGGGCACTACTAGGAGGTGTGGCCTTGTTGGAGGAAGTGCGTCACTGTGGGGCGGGCTTTGAGATCTCTTTTGCTCAAGCTTCCCTCAGTGTGACAGTCAGTCCAGTCGACTTCCTGTTGCCGCTGAGTCAGTTTGTAGCACTCTCACCTCCAGCACATCTGTCTGCACGCTGCCATGCTCCCTGTCACGATAATAATGGACTGAAACTCTGAAACTGTAAGCAAGCCACCCCAATTAAATGTTTTCTTTATAAGAGTTGCTGTGGGTGTGTCTCTTCTCAAGAATTAAAAACCCAAACTAAGACAGTGAATTTGTCAAAAATATTATTAGTGAATCCAAATTATGATGTATTTAGGAGAAAACACATTTTTGGGGAAAGATAGTAAAGATTACCCCTAGTAACACCTAACTTTTTTCCTCACTGATTTATGGGTGGCTTGCAAACCTTAGTGTTGTTCAATTTCTTAGAAACAGCTAGTTACCAGTTTTTACTGCCTCCTTTTCCTCAACTCATCCAGACTACTCACCAGTCCAGTCAATGTTTCCGTAGGAGGTTTTCCTAGTTTCTCCCATTTCTCAATGAAATGACTTCTGATGGTTAAAGGTTTAAACACTTTCTAGTATATTTAACTATTAGGTGCTGGGGACTTGACTAAGGAAGTGGGTAGAGAGGCTAGCCACTCAAGTGTGAGGACCTGAGGGTCAGATCCCAGGCACTTACCTTAAACCTGGGCCTGGAAGTGTGTGTGTCTGTAACCCAAGCCCTGGGGCAGGGGTGGGGGTGGATCCCTAGGACTCTGTGCTTGCTACTCCAGCTGCATTGCTGAGTTCCAGAACCTCAGACCTCCACACAGAGGCAAGCACACTGCACACATGTGCACACATGCAACATACAACATAGGACAAGAAAAAAAAAAGTAAAGAAAAGGCACCTATTGGTAGAGTATCTTCTCGAGTTTCTTCTTTCTGAAGGATCTAATGGGAAAGAATGAATGTTACTTCTAACACTTAGAAGACCTGAGCCCTCTGCAGTCATAATAAAACAACTAGCGGAAAAAGCTGCATCAGATCAGAACTATTACAAATAGACTAAAAATATGACAGAGTACTTAGATTCTTTTCATTTTACATAGGTTTATCTTTAATGGTATTTTAACTACACAACTTTGGAATCAGTGTTTCTGCTACGTTAAAGTTAACCATATCACCTTCAACCCAAGCTATCCCTATCAAAACACTTTATATGCATGTAATAATCCGAGGACATACCTGCAAGGAGAAACATTCCCCGGGTTAGTGTGTGGTTAGGCCGTCGGTGACACCCTTGGACCTCCGCTCTGCCGTGTGGGATGCAGCCCCACAGCCCTGGTAAGGTCATCAGCCATCCAGGGAGAAACTGGAACATGGGGCCTTTGCTTCTGCTCTAACCTCCCATGGTTTCCAGTGTGGCCCAAGCCCAAACAATACCAACTTACAAACTCAGCTAACTGAAATCTTCACCATGTCACTCTGAAGGAAATCATCTGTTCCCCCCCTCAACTCCCTTTCTAGTCAGCAGGGGGTCCTCAAAAAGAGGGTGTTTCCAGCTAGACTGAAGAATGTTGCTATGCTCGCCCCTGAGGGTCTGTGTCCTTCAAGGTCAGGAAAGGCTAATGCCTCAAGATGGTAACATAACTTCTCTATAGATTTCCCATCTTCATCTCACAAACAGTGAGCTTACTGTGTGTTGTCCAAGAGGAGAACAGAAAGTAATTCTCCGTAGACCGGCAGATCTCAACCTGTGGCTCTCAGCCCCTGTGGTGGGGGTCTGATGACCCTTTCACAAGGGTTACCTAAGACCATTGGAAAACGCAGATATTCACATTACTATTCATAACAGTAGCAAAATTACAGTTACCAGTAGCAGCCACCATCATTTTATGGTTGGAGTCACCACAACATGAGGAACCCTTAGGCATTAGGAAGGTTGAGAACCGTTGCCTGAGAGGAAAGATGAAAAACCTGCCTAACATTATTCCTATTGGTCTATTTGAAATTCTAGTTGAAATGTAGAAGGCTCAGAGCCTTTAAACAGCCTTCCGCTGCCATTTCCCCTGCTTGTACAGGCCTAGTGTGGCCTTGCTGGAAAACCCTGATGAACATGCCTGCTTTTTCCAGTGCTGAAGTTAGATCTCCATTAAGTATTTAAATCTCTCATTTATAAAACGAGGGTAACAATAGCATTTATAGGACTGTTGCAGGATTAACTGAGCAGCAAATGCAAGCACTTAGAATAACACCAGTAATACTCTATAGGTGTTATTGTCCTCTGGTAGTAAACTGTTGTGTCAAGTGATCAGTTCTTAGGTCCATTATTGAAAAGCAAAAGAAAAGGAAATTATTTTAAGCCATCTTGGAAAATACTGTTTAAAGAATTAAAGCGAGCACCCCTGAGTGAGATCATTTATTACTTTTTAGAAAATAGATTTCAAAGTATCTTAAAATTGTAAGGGAATGCTGCAAAGATTGATTTTTTTTTTAAAAGCTGGGCTTGGTTCCCAAAGTACCAGCTACTTACAAATAACCTAAAAAAATTAAGAAAAAAAAAACCACTATGGAGGGAGAGAGTGAATCTACATGTTATGTACAAATATCCTAGCATATAGCAATTACATTTTAAAATTTGCCATTTTAAGCCTTTTCATTAGCCTCCTCAAATATATCTTCCATATAAATGAAATTACACCTTTCTTAATTGTAATAGCACACAAAAATAATGGAATTTCATTAAATATGAGCAGCACATTAGAAAAGTCTAGCTGGAAACACCCTCTTTTTGAGGACCCCCTGCTGGCTAGAAAGGGAGTTGAGGGGGGAACAGACGATTTCCTTCAGAGTGACATGGTGAAGATTTCAGTTAGCTGAGTTTGTAAGTTGGTATTGTTTGGGCTTGGGCCACACTGGAAACCAGGGGAGCTCCAATTGGACGTTAAGTTTCAAAGTGATTTTCTTATTTTCTTCTGTGGATGCATAGAAAATTTAAATCAAACACCCTCACTCAGAGATAAGACAGTCTTATTACTTGTGCATTAGCATCTGCCCGTGGCTTTTGTAAACAGTCCAAAAGTTAGTCAAGTGATTCCTGCTCAAGAAGAAAGTGTCCTCTGTGATAGACTGTAGTATTGTCCCCAAATATTTGTGTCTCTCCCAAAGAGACAGTTTATTACTTCTCTATTTTGGATTTCAGACTTGGCCTTAATGAAACATGCAAGGACACAATATAACATGCCACCACTGTGCATTATTTGGTTCTGCCATCTCTCTCCTCTTTTCAAGACTGATTGGCATGTCCAGAGGAAGAATTTCTTCTTTATGTGGCCATCCCAAGCAGAGCCAATGCTTATGACTGACAAATACCACAAAGAGAAAGAAACCTTATTGTAACTGAGCTCTTAAAATAGCAATTTGAAGCCGGGCGGTGGTGGCGCACGCCTTTAATCCCAGCACTCGGGAGGCAGAGGCAGGAGGATCTCTGTGAGTTCGAGGCCAGCCTGGGCTACCAAGTGAGTTCCAGGAAAAGGCGCAAAGCTACACAGGGAAACCCTGTC